TCATCTTTATCCAAACCCTCTCCTGTTCCAAGAGCCATGTAGCAGCTGAATGCTTCTTACTAAGGGATGCCATCTTAACAAAGGTGGCTTCATATAAGGTGCTTGGAATGTGCAAGCACATGTCCTGCTTGTAGAGGTGAAGCTCTGCCTTTATCTGAGGGAATGAAAATTCAGGCCTAGGGTAGGTTCCTGTCCGTGCTGGGTGTGTCCAGACCTGGATCATCTTGCTAGTAATGTTACAGATGAATTGACTAGCTGGGCTGGGGGTGGAGACTGAAGGTGTGGCATGCTGGTGTCATAATAAGGGTAAGGACGAAGGCACCCAAACAGCAGAATGAGGGAATGGAAAATAAAACAAAGGTAGAGAGATGAAACAATCTAGAGGAAGGGGATGGGGAGAAAGTAAGGTGGGATCTGGAGACCCAGAAGAGTGAGGAAAACAGGGGAAGAGGAGAAACGGGAGAGAGACTTGGTAAGACCTGAGATGGACAGACAGAACCAGGAGAGGACAGAGTAGGACACTGCAAGGGGAGATGAGATGAAAAGAGAAAGAAGAAAAGGAAAATAAATAGGAAGTGGGAAGGAAGAGAAGGAAAGAAAGGAAGTGTATGCTAATGTGCAGCCCAAAGGGATCTCAACCTTGTGTAGGTGCTCCTTTGGGTGGCCAGTGCAATATAAACACAGAGCGTTGTTATCTTCCATGTCCCTTGTGGTATATTTCAGATTGTATACCACGGTGATCCTTATGCACCTCACAACTCCACAGCTTACCTGACCTATGAAAGAGGAGTAGAGATTGGATGCTGGGGCATGTGCATCAATGCAGTTTCATCATCACTCTATTCCTGTAAGTACCTGGGCACTGCACTTCTTAGAAAGAGCTGATTGCTTCCTGTGGTTCTGGAAAAAACAAAACAATCCATGAGCCTTTCCAGTTAAAAATTTCCAGGAATGTTATGTGCTCATTATTGATAGAAAGTCATAAAGGGCACCAGTATTTGTGCTGATTACCACACATTGAAGTGGGATTCTTCTGGAAGCAAGATTCAATTCTACGTGCAATATAGCCTCCAAATTTAAGACTTATCCTGATGGTGAATGTTGGGTTAAAGCACTGCAGGAAATTCCAAAGTATTATTTCCCTTGCCAGTTCTGTCACCGTAGTCCTTCTAATAGCCTCTCCCCACTTGATGTCCTCACAAAACCACTTCAACGCAGTACCCTGTAAAATCCTCCAGATGAGCTAATCCAGGCCCCCAAACTGCTTGCTAGCCCCTTGCCTGGTGATAAGGAAAAAAAAATGTTTACACCACTCAAGAATGCATTTATTCTCTAGGCAAACAAGGAAATAGGACTTTGGGGGTCAAAGTCAGGCATTTAATAGGATGGCCTTTGTGGACCTTTCCCCATTGGCTAATAGTTATAGCTATATGGGTGCATTTACACATGCATTTAATGTGATATAGTCCGACTGCACAGTCAAATACTGTTCAGTCAGCCTGTATCACATTAAATTTGCTTCCAACGGGGTGCACATGTAGTATTTTACTGTGCAGTAAGCATTCCCTGGGAGCATGTCTACATGTGCACCCTTCTGGAAGCAAATTTTAATGTGATGCTGTAATTAATGTGACGTAAATGCTTTAATGTGATGTAAAATACTGTGCGATAAACCTTCCCTGGGAGCTTGTCTACATGTGCACCCTGTTGGAAGCAAGTTTGTTTTCAGCAGGAACAACCAGGTACACGGCTGCACCTGCTCTGCTCAACCCCACTGCAGCAGCCAAGGGGAGCTCCAGGTTTCCTTGGGATTCTAGCTTGGGGGATGGCAGGAGGCACAGTATCTGGTCCTGATGCACGTGGGGTCAGGAGAGCTTTGCCGGCTGCAGCAGCACGTCACCTGGCCCTGTGCACATCTGGAGGGGTCCTGAAGTACACAGGACAGGAGACAGCTGCACCCGGCACAGCTCTCCCAGCCCTATGCACATTGGACACAGCTGCCAGTGAGCCCTGTACCCATCAGGGCTTCCCCACCCAGCCAGAGGCTGGCTGGGAGCTGTCCTATGCCTGGGGCAGCTCCTGGCCAGCCCCCTGCTGGGCCAGGTTTCCCTGCCCAGCCTGGGGCTTGCAGGCAGCTGCCTCACATGCGGGACAGCTGCTGGTGGGTCCCCTGCTGAGAGCCAGGAAGCAGAGAGCTCCCCAGTCCTGGTGCTGCTCAGCTCCTGGTTCCTGGGGGGACCCGGGAGCTGAGCAGCACCAGGGATGGGGACAGAGAACTCCCTCATGCCCTGTGGCCCCTGCTGGTGTGGCTGACTCGGCAAATTTGCTCTTGATCAGCATCTACACAAGTGGTACTATGCAGTAACTAATGTGAAGTTAATCTACTACCTCTGTCTACTACTTGTAATCTACTACTTGCAGTAAAGCATCTCACGTAGACATGCCCGATGTGAAGTACTCACTTCAATTCAACAGGAGCATACAGAAATGGTGTCAAATACCCCTATTACATCTGGCCATTCTACATGGGGAGTTCTTCCTGAATAGCTATTTCAGAATAGGAGCGTGCACTTCAGAAGTCAAGCACAAATGGCTAGGCTGCTGGAAACACTTGCTTTACCTTTATTTGAATTAAGTACCCAGGTCATACCAGATCTTTATATTTAGAGATGAGACTTTCATCTCATCAGAGAGAATCTCTTATAAATGAATTTTCAAAAGAAATATATTGGGTTTTTAAAGCCTCAGAAGCCTTTTTTCCTTTCTTTTCATAGATCTGCAGAAAGCCCTGCTGCCTTGCATTGGATTAAAAGGACTTTATTTCATTGGATACCTGCTTTTTGGGCTAGGCACTGGGTTCATTGGACTGTTTCCCAGAGTACATTCTACTCTGGCTCTGTGCTCCCTCTTTGGTGTCATGTCCAGCACACTGTACACTGTGCCATTCAATCTCATTGCAGAATATCACAGGGAGGAAGAGGTAAGTCTCATATCAAAGGACAATATTTGTTTTGTTTTATTCATTTTAGGAAAACATGATCTAAGTGGGGAAAGGGATTTAATTGTAAATTCAAATGATTTATGGTAACACAGGTGTTAGGAAGTGAAATTTATCCAGGGAGACCTTTAAGAATTGAATAAACAATACTAATAATACAAATTAATTGCAGTTATATGTCACATTTTCACTTGAGCATCTTAAAACCCTTTAGAAATATAAATTACATTTCTTGCCCACTTGCAAGTCAGAGAAGGAATTAATCCATTTACCTCTCAGGAAACTGGCAGAAAGACTAAAGACCTGTTCTGCAGTGATCCCAGCAAGCCTCGCTGTCAGCACAGGGAAGACATCATAGAATCATAGAAAATTAGGGTTGGAAGGGATGTCAGGAGGTCATCTAGTCCAACTCCCTGCTCAAAACAGGACCATTCCCAACTAGATCATCCCAGGCAAGGCTTTGTCTAGCTAGGTCTTAAAAACCTCCAATGATGGAGACTCCACAGCGGCTGTGGGTAACCTGTTCCAGTCCTTTACTACCCTCCTTGTGATTTAAGTTTTTCCTAATTTCTAAACAAAACTTCCCTTGCTGCAACTTCAGACCATTGCTCCTTCTGTCATCTGCCACCACTGGAACCAACTTAGCTCCATCCTCTTTGGACCCACCCTTTGGGTAATTGAAGGCTGCTGTTAAATCTCCTCTCAGTCTTCTCCAAACTAAATATGCCCAGTTCTCTCAGCCTCTCCTTGCTGAGGGTGCAATCCTTGGAAGTCATGTGCCCCATCCCCCTAACCATTTTTGTGGACCTCCACCAGACTCTCTCCAATTTGTCCACAACCTTTCCGTAGTGGGGGCCCAAAACTGAACACAGATGTGGCCTCACCGTAACTGAATAGAGAGGAATAATCACTTCCCTCAGTCTGCTGGCAACACTCATACTAATGCAGCCCAGTATGCTATTAGCCTTCTTTGAAACAAGGGCACACTGTTTGCTCATATTCAGCTTATTGGCCATTGTAATTCCCAGGTCCTTTTCTGCAATGCTGCTGCTTTGCCAGTTGGTCTCCAGCCTGTACCAGCACATGGGATTGTTCCATCCTAAGTGCTGGACTTTGCACTTCTCCTTTAACTTCATAATATTGAACCTCATAATATTTCTTTTGGTCCAGTCCTCCAATCTGATGTTTCTCTGAATCCTAGCCCTACCCTTCAGTGTATCTACTATTACCTGCAGCTTGGTGTCATCTGTTGCCTTGCTGAGGGTGCAGTCCATCCCACCTTCCAGGTCAATGATGAAGATATTGAACAAAACCAGCCCCAGGACTGACCCATGGGGCACTCCACTTGATACCAGCTGCCAACTAGACATTGAGCTATTGATTACTACTCTCTGAGCCTGATGATCCAGCCAGTTTTCTGTCCACCTTACAGTCCATTCATCCAACCCACACTTCGTTAACTTGCTTGCAGTGTTGAATGTTGCAGGAGACCATATCAAAAGCCTTGCTAAAGTCAAGATATATCATGCTCACTGCTTTCCCTGCATCCACGGAACCAGTCATCTCATCATAGAAGTCAGTTAGGTTGGTCAGGCATGCCTTGCTCTTGGTGAATCCATGCTGACTGTTCCTAATCACCTTCTTCCCCTCCAAGTGCTTAGAAATGAATTCCTTGAGGACCTGCTCCACATCCTTCAACAAAGATCTTCTTGGAGGAGTGGAGCCGCATAAGCCATGTGTACACTGGCAATATGTTCCAGCCAGTCCAGGGTTGCGATATCCCAAACCCAGAAACACGTTAGTGATGATGCTCTAGGAAATCCCTTTGTGGCTGCACTTGAAATCTGGAGTACTTGATCAGGAGGTGGGGATGACCCTAGAGCATCTTTGGGTTTGGAATGTTCCTGTGAGAGCTGATGGGTACTTGAGAGCATCCCAAGACAGTCCTAGCCTCCACAGGATATGCCTATAGTCAATGGCACAGTTGGAGATACAACCTGGGTGCCATGGTACCATCTTATGCTTTAACCACTAGACTAAACTGAAATCAGACCACTGGACTAGACCAAAAGCATTCATAATTTAGTCCTGCTCTGACAGAGTTGTTTATCCTCATGTGTCTTTTGGAACAAGCTGTGGTACATGTTTGGGCTGCACCTAAAGCACTAGCACTCTGATTGCTGATTTGTGCTTAGGCACCATTAACATGTGAAACATATGTGTGTGTGTGTATATATGTGTGTATGTATGTGTATATATGTGTGTGTGTATATGTGTGTGTGTGTGTGTGTGTAGTATGTATATATGTATGTAGTATATATAGTGTCAATAATATATCCGCACTATAATGCTAACTCTGTATTTGCACTGTATAATATATAGTATGAATCTTATGGATTCATAGATTTCATAGACATTAGGGCTGGAAGGGATCTCGGAAGAACATTGAGTCCAGACCCCTGCCACAGGGGCAGGAAGTCAGCTGGGGTCATAGGATCCCAGCAAGAAAAACATCCAGGTTTCTCTTGAAGGCGTTCAAAGTAGGTGGCTGAACCACCTCCAGCAGCAGGCCATTCCAGACCTTGGAGGCTCGGACAGTAAAGAAGTTCTTCCTTATGTCCAGTCTGAAACGGGCTTGCAG